TTGGCTTTCTGGGCTGCCAGTGCACACGGCCGGCTCATGTCCAGCTTTTTGTCTACCAGTACCTCCACAAGTCCTCCTCCCTCAGGGTTCTTCTCAATCCATTCTCTGCCCAGCCTGTACTTGTACTTGGGATTGCCCCAACCCAGGTGCAGGACCTTGCCCTTGGCCTTGTTGAACTCTATGAGGTTGGCACGGTCCCGCCTCTACAGCCTGTCCAGGTCCCTCTGGATGCCATCCCTTCCCTCCAGCGTGTCACCGCACCACACAGCTTGGTGTCATCAGCAAACTTGCTGAGGGGGCACTCAATGCCATCATCCATGTCATTAATGAAGATGTTAATCAGTACAGGCCCCAACACTGACCCCTGAGGAACGCCACTCGTCACCGATCTCCACTCGGACATTGAGCTGTTGACCACCACTCTCTGAGTGCGGCCATCCAGCCAGTTCTTTATCCATCGAGCAGTCCAACTGTCAAATCCATGTCTCTCCAGTTTAGAGACAAGGATGTCCTGCGGGACGGTGTCAAAGGCTTTGCACAAGTCCAGGTAGATGTCATCTGTTGCCTGTCCTCTATCCACCAAGGTCATGACCCCATTGTAGAAGCCACCATATTCATCAGGCACGATGTGCCCTTGGTGAAGCCATGTTGGCTGTCACCAGTCACCTCCTTGTTCTCCATGTGCCTTAGCATGGTTTCCAGGAGGATCTGTTCCATGACCTTGCCAGGCAAGAGGTGACACTGACTGACCTGTAGTTCCTTGGATGCTCCTTTTTCCCTTTTTAAAGATGGGGGTTATGTTTCCCCTTTTCCAGTCAGCGGGAACTTCACCAGACCACCACAACGTCTCGAATATGATGGATAGAGGTTTCACAACCTCATCTGCTAGTTCATAAGGTCCCAGGGACTTGTGCATCTTCAGATTCCTTAGGTGACCCTGAACCTGATCCTCCCTAACCATAGGCAGTTCGCTATTCTCCCAGTTCCTGCCCTGTTTACAGGCACTTCCAAGAATGACCCTACTGTTTTCATGTCCTCCTTAGATGCAGCCCAAATCCACATCAGGAAGAAGCTACAGTTTTCTTGTAGGAGTCTCAACAGCTCTGGGCAACAGAAATAGGAGTCTCTAACTCAGATGTTCTCTTCCAAAAAGAGTTCTTAAATCCAACTTATGAATAAGAAACTATACATAGCTCAGTCTAAAGCTAGAATACAACAGGAAGAGATTAGTCCCCTGCTGCTCTGGCAAGGAAAGAGACAGCAAATCAGGGAGGTTGTTACAGTCTTACTGGCAAGGATATTGTACTGATGGATCAATGAATACTTCTTGTCAGGCATGACTACAGATTTTTCAGCTGAGAATATGGGTGTGATACTACAATAGGATTTTATAGAGCTTATGACTCCAGAAAAAAAAGGACTGGGAAACGCACAACAAATTAGATCCCATGGATCACAACTGGGGCTGGAATTCAGCACAGGAGAAACACTGTGAAGAAAATAAGTTTGGGTTTTGGGGATTTTTTTTGAACCCTGATTTTCATCTGCAGAGCGTAAGGAGCCAAGTTTTGTTTTCATCCTGAGTGTGATGAAATCTGAACAGCACTTCTGAACGAGTACAAAACGTAAAAAGTTAACGCATATCACATACCTATAGGTACCGTTGTGTCAGTGCTTAAACTGGTGCCAATTAAGAAATCGCCAATAAGTGCAGGTCTTTCATATACCCAGGATGGAAATACTGGAATGGGCTGTCCAGAATTCTTCTTATTCTGCTTATCTCGGAGGATTTTTCGTGTAAGCTCAAGAGACTGTAGGAAAAACAGAGAGAAAGGAAATCTTCATAAGCCCAAGAAATTTTGACTTTTAAGCAGAAATTGAATGAAAACTGACACCTTGAGAACAGACAGTAGAATAACAGATGTTTCAGTAGCAGAGTGTAGGATTTGGTCTCCCAATACCACACAGTCTACTGATCTCAGTGCTGCAGAGGTGATCTTTTTACACAGCTGGCCTTCTTTTTATCGGAGTATACATCAAATCACACTTTCCTGCACCCCTCTCCATAAGCCTGGGTGCTAAGGGAGCAAAATGGGGATATGCACAACCACCAGGCACCTTACTAGTTTGTAAAGTGTACCATATGAAAGGCAGCAAACTCCTTCCAGAAGCAGTAACCTTTTATTCAAGGGGCACTTGCAGACAGGCTAAGGAATACCTCTGAACTCCGACTGTGCACAGAGCCCACTCACCAGCTGCACGTCAAATGCAATCCAGGTAACCCACCCACAAATAGCTGGAAAATGGCAGAGGTTTTAACTCTGAATAGGAGCCAGCGAAGGAAGTGAGCTCTTAAAGACCACAAGGCTTTCAATCCCTGGCTTCAGGTCTCTGGCACTAAAATAAATGGAGTGCAAGATTGATTATCAGCTGGAGAGGCTTGTGAGATGTACAACCTACGTGAACGTTTAGAGCCCCAAGTGCACCAAACACTGGGCACATGCTTATGAATGACATTTCTTAGGCACCACCGATGTGTATGTGAAATAGGATATGCACAGGGTGGTTTTCCTTTCCTCTCATAAGAGGTCTTGGAGAAGAGAAGGATTTGAGAAGGAAACAAACATACATGTGAACTTTGCAGCTTAAATGTCACTCTTCAGTGTGAGAGGCAGTCGATGTACACTGTGGCTGGCCCTGGCCATTTTTCATATCCTCAGTGCTGTGTCTTGAAATCCTTCAAACAAGCATCGGCTGTGGGACCACTGCTCCAAACAGCACCGGTTTCAGACACATCTCCTACAGCCTCGCCGCGGGCGTAACACCAGCACAATGTCCTCACGTCAAAGAAGCACCCCAAGGTGACACTGCCTTCCTACCGATACCGTATACGAGTGATCTGCTAGATGGACCTCAACTTCCTCTGCTCCCCTAATGAACACAGGACTCTCACAGGAGGGTACGGAGAAGGATGAAGCATCAAATAAGCTGCCAGCAATTCAAAGTAAACTTCACTTAAAATTGCAGACCTCAGTGTAGGACTTGAGTCCTACACATGAGTAAACAACTCGAGCTTCTTCACAAAACTTAAACCCATACAGTGAGAAAATACTCCTGTGTTGAATTAGTGTACAGTAGTTCACTTGCTCGTCATGATCCAGACACACAGACATTGTCTAAAGATCAAAACATCGTGTGTTTTGTATCTGTATACTTTCTGTATCATCTTGAGCTCCGGGTCATTAACAGTGAACAAGAACAGCCAGCATGGTTGATCGTGCCTGACAAATGTGGTGGCCTTCTACGATGGGGTCACGGCCTTGGTGGCTAAGGGAAGAGCAAGTGACGTCATCTACCTTGACTTATGCAAAGCCTTTGACACCATCCCGCATGACATCCTTGTCTCTACATTGGAGAGGCATGGATCTGACGGAGCGACCACTCGGCGGTTAAAGAACTGACCGGATGGTCACATGCAGAGTTGCTGTGGTGACTGCAGTGGCTGCTGACCTCTTCAGCAAGCACTGCCACAGGCAGAAAAGAAAATGGAAGCACAGCTGAAAGCAGTCGTTTGAAATGCGAAAATGGAATTACACTAACCCCTCCAGTTAGGACTGTCATGCCCTAACCTTCAGTTACCTTAACTGACTTCAGTAAAAAAAGGCCAGAGGCCACTTTTACTAAGAAGAGCACAAAGATTTAATACAACCTGACTCACAAATTTTGAGAGACAAATTAGATGATCTGCACAGACAGGAATATTTATAATTCCACTAGATGATAAAAGAGCACAGCTATACTCATGAGCAGCAGGGAAAGATTTTGTAGCCAAAGTCTGGGGAAGAGACAGTACCTGCTGTACAGTGGAGCTGGCTGTGACACTGCCCAGCTGCTTGCGAAGCTCCTCGAGCTCCTGCAGAGAGATCTTGGAAGTAGATGTGGGCATGGAGAAATTTGTGCTGCCAGTGGTTGCCGCATTTGCTGCAAGTTCTGCCCTTTCTTTAGCATTCTGTTGCAAATATTGGAGTGTCTGTACATATACAAAAAAGAAAAGATTTTGTGAGTGCTACTCAGCACACACTAAAGCAAAAACCATAACCGTAAGACGGCTCTGCTGAATCAGACCACTGGTCTTTTTGACCCAGTTTCTCATGTCTTCATGGTTTGTATCAAGAGAAGTGCAATTCTTAGCAGTGCTTAATAATTAAGTAAATGCTAGGACTGGTTATCTGTTGATTTCAATGCACTTTGCTGAACACTGACATCAAAAAGCGTGCTGTATTTAAAAATCATTGCTACTGCTAAATATTTATAACACATCCAGTTCTAAAGGAGAAACTAACCTCTTTGTCTTCTGTGAGTTTTGACAGTAGATAAACTAAAGAATCTAGATGTCTTGTGTTTTTAGACTTTAGCTCATCGTACTTCTTTAAAAAATCTTCAGGAGTTCGAGAAAACTCTGCTATTTTTACCTGTAAAACACCACATTACCATTAAATGTTTAACACACTATTATCACAGAATTCAAGGAAGAGCACTGTGCAAGGATGGAGACAAGGTGCAGGCTGCTGCGTTGCTGGAGTACTTCAGGGAATGGGTTTTGGACTGAAATCTGCAGCATTGGTCTCCTCCTAATAGTAATTCTGGAGCAGAGTGGAGGTCCTGGCACTTCAGGTGATGGAGAAGGGACTGCGGGAGACAAAACATGAAGGTAAGCACAAGATCTGTAGCAGGGCTCGCTTTGCACATGCTCTCTCTGAAGCAATATGGTTTTGTATCAGCAGGTTTATTAAGGGATTTGGCACGATGAAGCCACATCTGGACACTGCATCCACTCTGGGAGACCCACTAACAAAAGAGACACCAACACACTGGACCGAGCCCAGCACAGAGCCATGGAGTCGGAGGGACATACTGCCCGTTGTCCGAAGGGGTTACAGACCCTGCTCCAAGGGGAACTGCAAAAGCATCACAGGCACTGCTACAAACTGTGACTCGGAAGATCCCAGCTGGCCCTAGGGAACCAGTTCCTTCCCAGAGAGAGTGGTGACCCGAGGAGATGGCCAGAGGGATGGAGGAATCTCCTTAAGACCTTCAACATGCAGCTAAGCAGCCTGCTGTAGCTGTGGCACTGGCCCTGCTGCGAGCACGGGGCTTGACTGCACGTCTCCAGCTGTGCCTCCTACTTAAATCTTTCTACAAGTCTACAAACTGCAGCTGTCAGTGTAAACGATGCGTAAGACTGGAACTAGAGAAAACATGCAGTTCAGGCTTCAAAGACCTGAACTTTCAGGCAGAGTTAGCAATATTCTAGTACTCAGAGCTTGACTGATGGAATGCTCTTAAAAAGGACAATGAAAAACAGTATTATGGCCACAGAAGTATGCCTGGTCATGAGAGTGCCAGGCTTTAATCCCCAGAACCTGGGCAATGTTCAGAAAAACAGTCAGGTATTGTTAATATAATCGCATTCCATACAGTTACTATTTTTCATTTCAACCATCACAGGCACAAAATAAGTTCCTTCTTCAAACTTCACAGTTCTAACAATCCTTCTCATGTTTTTTCACCAGCCTCTCCAAGATGCAAGGATTTTATCTTTTCCGTGATATAATCTTTTTAATTTATACCCTAAATTGAGAATCCAGATCAAACTACCCCATTTTTTTACCAATGACAACATGACTTCACCATTATCTTCAGAAAAACTTGGGTACACAGATTACCCCTTCCAGCATGTGTCCAGCTCTGCACCCACAGAACTCAAATTATCTTGCAGAAGAGTAGAGTTAAGGAAAAGATAGTTCACACCACCAGCTAAGAGAAATCATGCTGAGGAATGTTTATCGTGAATTTCTCCTCAGGGAGGACTGTGCTTGCAGAGCTGACAGAACCTCTATCAACGATTGCAAAGGAAGCACACCTCAGGAGTCCTGCCAGCCCCCCCCCTAAGGTCTGAAATGCACCTCAGTGTCATGATTTCACCTTGGCTAGCAATTATGTACCATTCAGCCGCTCACTAACCTCCCCCCTCCTCCAGTGAAGGAGAATTGGAGGAAGAGACAAGGAAGCTCGTGGATTGAGACAAGAACTATTCAATAACTGAATATCAATCAATACTATAGTGATACTAATAGTATTAACAATACTACTAATAATATGTAATGAAAATAAAACAAATTATACAATTGCTCACCACCCACCAACCGATACACAGCCAGGTCCCAAGTAGCAAGAGTGAGAGCCAGAGCCCGAGAACTGAAGCTCAAGAGTGATCACAGCAGAGTCTGAGCGAGCCCCCCGAGCGAGAGAGCGACTGAGAAAACCAACCAACTCACTAATGAATAACAAACAAACAAGCTAATGAGCAAGCTAGGTAACAAGCAAGCGAGCTAATGAGCAAACCAGCAAGCTATGGCCCCTCCGCCAGCCCACTCACAGCCTATGTATTGAGCATGACGTGCTATGGAATAAAATACTTCTCGGGTCAGTTTCGGTCAGCTGTCTGAACTCTGTGTGTCCCCCTACACTGCTCGTAATGAGAAAGTTGGGAATACAGGTACAGTATCAGAAGCTAAAAAAGTTCTTGGATTAGTGCAAGCACTCTCTAGCAACAGCTGAAAAAAAACCCCACCTTATAAGTACTATTCCCAGGTCAAATCCAAATCATAGCCTCCTACCAGCTACTGTAAAGAAAATTAACTCTGTCCTGACAAAAACCAGCACACAGCTGCTCTTACAGTACATCGATGCTCACCTTTGCGCTGTGTGCAGAGACGGTCGTGGTAACGTAAGGCGTTCGGTTCTTCTGCAGAAGGTCGATGTACACTTCGGCTCCTTCCCCGCCATGAATGCGCAGCAGGCTGAGCAACTCATTGACGTCGTGGTGAATGCGGAACTCGCTCATACTCCCACCTGAGACAACAAGCTCTGTGGGATGCAGAAACAAAGGCGGTAAGTTATTATTTTACTGCTGCAAATGAAAATACACCTGCAGAAACAACATTTCCTGCTTACATTATCAGGCCTCAGGAGATGCTAAAATATTTGTCTGGAATAAAGACATACACATAAGTGAAGGAAGCAAGCAAAGCAGAGATACTCATTATTGTGCCTGATTTAACTACCACCCCACCTTAACTGTAGGTGAGCCAGCAGTGGATTTTTCAGTCTCAGAATCACACTGGCAATGAAAAAATTACTGAGCCATCATAAGTGGGGGTTAGTGTACAGAGTGCAGACACAGACGGAATTCCTGGCTTCAGCAATTTGCCTGTACTGCTGTGTCTGAAGTTCTTCAAAAGCAGTTTTCCCAAGTTCAGGGGGTCTTTACATCCTACTGCCCATTTTATTAAGAGACAAGCACCAAATCCTGCAAAGCTGCTTAAATGATGGACACAGAAATAGGAGTCTGACTGATGCATGACGCAAGTATGGAATTTATCATGACACGCTAAAGAGATGCGGAATATCAAGCATAGGGACACACTTCTGGTTTGCCAAAACCATTGAATCGTTTAGGCTGGAACGGATATCTGCAAACCTCCATCCAACTCTCCACCCAAAACTGAGTCAAATTAGAGCAGGCTGTGCAGGAACTTGCCCAGTCCAAGCTTAAATATTCCCAACGATCCAGATATCCCCAACACTCAGTGCCCTGATCCTCACGTGGAAACACCTTTTCCTAATATCCAAGTGGGATCTGCTCTGCTCGGAGGGGACCTACGAGATCCCTAGAGGCACAGGGGCAGCACGGGAATCTCCAGCCATCCCCAAAGACACATCCCGGTCGTCCTCGGGACAGAGCCCAGGTGGTGCGGGATTCCCATCCCTCGGGATGCCCCGACTAGCCGGGACACGGCCCCCAGCCACCCGCTGCAGCGTGGGCTCTGATGGGAGCGGGATCAGGCCGGAGACCCCTCCCCAGCTGCCGCGGTGGGTGGCGCGGCTCGCCCGGGGAAAGCTGTGGCGGCCCGGGGCAGCACGTCAACCC